ATTCGAAATTTTGCTCACTTGTCCATTCAATGCAATAATTTAATAATTGTGTTCCGTTGTTTGATCAGGATCATCAGGATTAACGATTTCTAATTTTCAGATCCCATCTCGCATCTGGCGACAAATTTCAGATCCCATTTCCAGATTTGGTGACTAATTCGAGATTTGTTACAACTTAGTTCGATTAACTTTTAAAGTGTGTTTTTTAGTTTTTTTTAAAAAACAATAATTTATTAATAACAGGCCTATTTAGATAGCTATAATTTCAATTTACAGAAGCATAAATTTAAACACACACATTTAATCTCTTTCTCTGGTTATATCTTCATTTTAAATTCATTTTATAGTATTCCATATTAGTATTATTTTTTAATTCATCAAATTTTCTATTGAGAATTTTCTCCGGCAACAAAAATTTACGTCCGTGAACTTACTGTCTTCTGCTATAAAATTATCAAATTCAAAAAATTCATTGTTAGGTTAAATATTTTGAAAAGGCTGCAAAATAATAAAATTTTAGAATGATTCCGAAAATAGAAGATAATGCTAAATATTCCGAATTTTTAAAGCTGCATAAAATGGCAATAAAGACGGAAGACCTATAGTGTATACAGATTCTTCTAATCTTTGAAAAATCTCGTCTATCATTCTCTGCAATAAAAGCATCAATGACAGCCCTTCCCCAACACTTAGTGGTTCAAAGGCTTTGTACTAGGTATAACGTTGTGCACGATAACAAAGAACAATAATCCAGCGAATCTTTTATTCCTTTTATTAATCAAACTGCAAACTTCGAACAGTGGATCGCAGAAACAATAGCTTTTGATTAGAATCCAATACCGATTTCTCAGAGCGAAAATCTTTGTTTTCACCCTGCTCGAATCCCCTCAAAACGCTGTCTTGCTTCGATTTTTAATTCGTTCGAGAACCGTTTTCGAAATCTCGCGTGACATTTTTAGAACAACCCCTTTGAGAATCGGCAATGAAGACAGAGAGAGAGAGGGAGAGAGGGAATATTCTTCTATAACCTGTTGTTGGTGGAAAGAGTTCCTCTCCTCTGCAAACAAGGTCACACAACATACAACATACTCTGTCATCTTTTCTAGGTTTTGAAGAGCAGAGAGAGAAGATAGCAACGAGCAGGAGAGAGAATAAAAATTGCGTATTCCTAAACCTGCTGGCTTAACTTAGAAACCAGCTGCTTTTGATTCCATGCAGCTCAAACATGGGGGAATTGGGCGGGAAAACATTGCTCGGGGCGTGGGAGGGGGGCTGGAAAGAGAAGCAGTCGGGAAGAGAGAGGTGTGTATCTCTCTGCTTGCTCAAAGAACAAAAACGAAAAAAGGAGGACTTTGTATGGATTAAACTTTATCAATCCCGGTTGCGAGTCTCAATTACGAAGCGAGGTTTGGCGCGCGTCTTCGGCGTAATCCCTTACCAATGAAAAGTAACAAGCCCTAACGCTCTTCAGTAGCGAGAAATTCAGTTTTAATACCGCACGTTAAAATGAGAAACTGGAGGAAGGAGGGGTATACAGAAAGGGGTCTCCGGAAAAACCTTTTGCTTCGCCTTCTTCCGTTAATAAGATGCTTATGGATATCTACTGGTACTTTATCTTTTCCTTCTCGTTAACACAGTGTTGGAGTCTCTTGGGGATAACCACATGCAACGGTCAGTCCATCTATTCTGCCTACTGTGTGTATACCCCAGTTCTTATCTATACGTTCCTAGATGGAATACGGTAAGAGGATCAAACTTGAGAAGCGCCTAAGTTTCTTCCCGAGTCGCGGTGCTGCCGATGGCGGCGCTGGTGTAGGCCTCTTTGTTGTTACTTCTGTGCAAAAGCCGATTTCGTCTTTTCCTCCCGTTGATGTTAGAGTTTAATTGATAATGAGTGCGAAAAACTCGCATTGTAATTCTATGGGGAAGTGAAGGCAAAGGGCTTGTTGTCGCTCTTTTGTGACGATAATTCGAGAAGTAATTGAAAATTAAATAATGGAGGATTAACTTTTCCAGTTTGTTGTCGTTGTGCGAGTTTATGTAATTAAACAAAGCATTCTCGCAGGTGTGTGTTAGGCTGGAGTTAATTCCTGGGAGCTGATGTTTTAACATTTAAATTCTTTCGGTGCGAGGTTGATTATCTGTCTTTCTCCACTTGAGTGAATTCGAGATAAAAGAAATCGTAGAGGAAATAAAAATCCTATAAAACGGATCTAGTGTTAGGCTATCTCGAGATAAACGAGTTATTCCGTAGTAAATGGAGATGAATAAGTTATATTTTTAATGATTAAAAGTGTCATTATATATTTTTATAAAATACTTAATCATTAAAACAGATTCGAATGCATTGTAAATATTTTAATTCTATGTGTTATGTAGAAGCATCTAGATTAAACTTATTATGCACAAACATTGTCATGAAGTCTTAGGTATTTAACCTCGGTACTTAAATGTTAAGAAGTTCAACCAGGGAAATGTTTATAATATTTGATACAGAGAGAAAAGTGTATTTATTTGTTAATTTTTTAAAGTCTTATTCTGTAGTAAAAGTCCTTCATTTATAGTAAAATTACAATTTTTACTCAATTTTTAAAAGTGATATGTCTTTTAAATACCATTCAATATTTTTTGTTGAAATAAGATAGTAATGAGTATTTTAGGAAAAAAAACTCCCATTTTACAGAAATTTTCATATAAAAATGTTAAATTGAGCAAGTACATTCATTCAATTTTATTCAAGGGTATACGAAAATATGAAAAATTAAAAATAAATCACGAATGGAAGGGGAAGGGGGGGGGGAGGAAGGATAAATGAAAAAAGAAGTACTAAAGTTTCAATTTTGCTCCTTGTGTATTCTTAATGATATTAAAATGTAGCTCCAAAAATACAATACACTAAAAAAAAATCTTAAAAACACATTAAAAAAGTATGACAGTATTTACAAAGTAATCACAAACTACAAGAGCAGTGGTGTAACGGAGACTATTAGCTTCTCCCTCTTCTGCAACGTCAGGTTTTGCCTTTAGTTTTTTATAAATTAGTTAAATATGCACCTGGCTTTAGTCAGGCGTTGGGCCTCATTGAATCCTGTTCCCCCGCTTTGCGGGGGTGTACGTTACGCCACTGTGCATGAGATATACGTATATTTCATTTTATTTTGAAATAACAGATTAACTTCATTTTTTCATCAAATCTTCAAACTTTCAAGTATTGTTAACAAAATGAAATAATTTTATGAGCGTGAAAAACACACACACAAGTAATTTTTTTTATAAATGCTGTGAATACGAAAGGGTGAAACAATTTAAATCTAATTTTGCTGTTTGATCATATTTTAAATAGTTAACTTTAGTACAATAGTGTAGGCAAATTTACTTAGAAAAAACGAAATAAGAAATCATTACAATCATTACGTAAAACTGTAACTATTAAACACAATGAAATAAAAAGTAAAGACTCTTAGAATGTTTTGATTATTGGGAATAAATATTTTATAATAGGGATCGATGTGTTCAGTGGAGCGTACATACTCCCTTATAGCCCTTGATTTTTTTTGATTGATGATAATCCTATGTATATAGTACGCAAAATTTAATTACTATTTGTTATTATCAACTAATGTTAATTATTAATTCAATAATTTATTTTTCAACTGTTTTTTGTTCTCCAAATCGACAAAATCAAAAGAATATGTCTGGTGGCGTATTGCGGTATCCTACGAGAATAGTGGATTTTCGACCCTGGACCCCTTCCCCCTCACCTGAAAAATTTTGAGTGTGCCACTGCATGCATGTATTATAAATTTACTTCATTTTTGCTGTTTTTCATCAATGAAAATTAAGAACATATTTTATTGTTTTTCAAATTCATAAACTTAAATGTTATACTTTTTTTCATATCTGGTCAAGAACGAATTCGAATACATTTTATCGTGTTTAAGCTCTCTTTAAATTTCAACCGCATTCAACCGTTATTACATGCAAATTAGCAATTTATTTTCCTAGATTTTTGCAACCCCATTTTTAATATTTCTTCTGATTCTACAGTTCCGGATCCTATGTCATCTTTATTCTATTTAGCATTAAAATATTTTGAATAGACTAGAATGAAAAAGAAGAAAGTAAATAATTCTTTCAACTGTTAAATATTTCTCAGAGTAAACATTTTTTAAGTAACCAGAACTTTTATTCACTCAAAGTTAACTTTTCTCTAATCTTAGTGAGTAAATAGTCAAATTTATATTAGAATACTAATTCTCCTGACAACTCAAATAAAGTCGAAATCTTCATTAATCCAAATATCTCTAAGAATTTGGTGCACCTATCAAATGCCAGTACTATAAACAAAAACTCCCGAACTCGCCATCGATATGGACTATTCCGTTGCCCAAGGAGTCGTACGATGTCCATAACGGTATATTACATACTCCAGTTAATAACCTCAGCTTACTAAATAAAAAGAAAAGGCCAATAAATCTCGCCGAGATTGCTTCTTCGATTCGTTGATCAGCAGAATCAAAATGATCTTTCACCGAATGAGGGCATACCATATAATTGCCAGAGGAGTCGTGTAAAAAGTAAATCTTTTTCTCTAGGGGGCATGGAGAAAAGAAAGAACAAATTAAAATTTCTTATATATATATCAAGTTCTTGCAATTGCTGTGTGTTATGTATTTTTGAATTTTTACTGCATGGGATAGTTAAAATAAACTATGTATTAGGGTGGATTGAAATTATTTTTTCAGAATTTCAAAACCAGCCTATACGGTACTCTGATATGTAGATGGAAGGGAAAATAAATAAAAATTAATTTTTGTGTTAAGTACTACCACAAGGGGAATGAAGTTTAGATATATAAGCTTTTTTATGGTAAAAGCCAAAGTAGTTTTTATTATAACGAAAAACAGGTAAATTAAGGCTTTTTAATATTTATTGCAATGAGAGGACATCTATTAAATAGTTACAAGAAAAAAACATTTGGTACACTTAACACAGTAATTGCCTCTTCACCTAGTATGGTGGTTACGACACTCGGCTCGTAATCGAGTGGGCTCGGGCTCGAATCCCGAATAAGGCATGGATGTATCTTCGGGAAAAGATGTCGGACTTTCGCCTGAAATGGATTTCAGTCTCGAAAGGAAAGCAGTGCACCCTTTCTGTTCTACGCTGGGAAAATGTTTTTAATAAAAGTCTATGTTTTTCAGTGTTTGTATCGTTTATTTCTGTTCGTCTATCTCTCGTCTTTCGTATGCATTCCTGTATAAAACACACAATAACACATTGATTTGTTTCCTGCCATTATCGGATCAAATAAAAATGGATCTTCATCTGTTAACTTCTCACAACATCTATTCTGCACTGCGTTTACTTGACCATCAAATTTTTAGTAAATCTTCCTTTTTTCCAAATTCTCTGCCAGAAAATCGGTAAGCTATAGCCTAGGGAGATAAATAGGTTTCTATTTTTCTATTCTAAATGTTATTGCGACGGTCTGCAATCACTAAGGCATAGACATTCTCGGCCTTTGTGTTCTATTGCTGGTCTGTCTTCCAGGATATTTATCGTATTTAATGCTTCCCCCAAAGTCGTGAAGTAGATAATAACATTTGAAAGTACATGATTGAGCGACATTATATCTCTATATGCTATTTTAAGCATTTTTTGTAACTTTCTACCGCTAGCTTTCTCAATTTGAAGTAAAATTTTATATTCAGTTCGTTACATCCGTAATAACAACTTGCGCAGAACACATATGTTCCCTTGTCAAAACTCAAACGTTTATACAATAAGTGCAATTTTTTCATCGATGCACCAAAGGAAATGAATTATAAGTATTAGGTACTGACACTTTCTACATCTTCTCATCTGTTTGTAAGCATGCACATTTTTTGAATTTGATAAACACACTTTGTATAAAAATCTTTTATGATTACTTGGCTCATAATACGCAGATGCATATTTCAGTAAATTAGTATTAACTTTTAAATCGAGAGGAAGGCCGAAAAATTAATTTAATTCATACACATTACTTTCATTTTATGAATATTTGACTTTTAAATAAGAAAATGAAAAGCACATGATTAAATAATCACTAAGCATTTTAAGTTAAATATTAAAGGAAAGTCTAATACCTCACTTTGGAATTTTATTTGGTCCTATCCACTAGTTTATTTATGACAATCCAGTATCACTTATTTTAGACCACTGTTAAATAATGAGAACAATTGGTACTTCAGTTTCCAAAGCCACAGCACACCATATTAAGAATTTAAATCAAGGTAGATTTTATGAATGTTAATCTTTGATGCTTTAATTTTCCCATTTGATTTAATATATATGAAATTCGTTATCGCAAACAATTTTACAACAAGTCGCAATCAAGACAAACAATTTTAAAATAATTTGATAGTATATTAGTTAAGACAGTGCTTCTCAAACTTTCAATTTTTGCGACCCAATATTCAATCATAAGTTTCATATTGCGCCTACTCTCTCTATACAATAACAATGTCTTGAATTAAATAATACTATACTTTGACGCTAAAGTTACAGTACGACTTTAACCTCTTTAGTGCCACCAGCATATGTAAACATCTTGATCAACGAAAACATTAATTTCCACGGACATATATATACGTCTTTCCGAAGTACGATCTTTTCTGTGAACTACTATCCATAAAATTACTTCAAAGGCTTTGGAATGCAATAAAAGGACCTTGGCAGTGTTTGCGTTATTTCAGATAATTTGCTTATGCATTCATTTTCTCCCCCCCCCCCAATACATCACAAACGCGTGCCTATGTGGAAAAAGGTGGCATTGGGGAACGCGAATCATGTAACTTTTAATTGACAGTTAAGGGATTAATTATAAACCGTACAAATTATCTAGATAAGTGTTAATTTTTGAATGTAATTCTATATGTGATAAGCCCATCGGGTTACTTGTAATTATTAAGTTTGTTCTTAACTTAGTATTGTTAAATTAATTATAAAATACATTGTGTAATACTGATACATTTAATAAGTGTAATGTGTAAAAGTGTAATGTTTAAAGTATAATGTGTAAGTGTCAGTGTAAATGTGTATTTTATTTTTTTTATTTCATCAAATATATTTTGTTTGTTTACTTTCAGTAAATAATTTTTTTAAAAATAATCTTTTATTTTCGACTTTACAAATTGCTCGCGTCCCCCTCGTAGTATTATTATGCCCCCAGCTGGGAGGGTGCGTCGCACAGTTTGGGAAACGCTGAGTTAAGAGCTGTAGTCCCCCAGAGTAAAAAATATTTTTATGTGCGAGAGAGAATGGGTTTTAATGTACACCCAATTTTTTTTTACATGGTTGATACGTTCCTAGAGGGCAAAAAAAAAAAAAAAAAAAAAAAAAAAAAATGTGTACTGAAATATATATGACATATGGTATTTGAAGGATATAAACCACAACTTTAAGAAATCATGTAAGATGAAAGAGATTTAAATACTTTCCGAAAAAGACAGTGCTAAAAAGTAACAATGAAATCCATTTTAAATATTTATAAAACAAAAACCATTCCTTTTTATTATAAAAAGGGGCTCAAGTGTAGTACAGGGATTAGTGCAGTACAGCTTTTGGATTTGGTGATTTTTATTTTGATTTCATGGTGAGATAATGAATTCATTCTGGTTTTTGGACGTGTATCGGTAAGTGGTAGCCGATTGATTTTGGTCGCCAAAAGAAATTGAAATTGCCAATCCCCCCCCCCATACAACACTTTAACCCAAAAAGGAATTAAAACTGGTGTACAGCAAAAATTTAGTCTATAAGTACGTACAATATAACAAAATCTCAAATTGAAAATTAAGAATAAACTACTAACTAACAACTACTCACCACTACTTGATAACAAGCATGCACGTTTTTTTACGAACTTGATCAAAAATGCTATCATCACTAGATGTGTGAGATATATCAAGCACAACTTTCGGTTTGGATTCAAATGAAGAATTTCGTTCATTATTAACGGTCACTGTCAGTTTTTTTATTGTTGCAAAGTTGTCTGTTGTTATCTTTTTAATAGTAAAAATTACCATCGACACGAATAATACTGGGAATTTCACCATAGCATTAAAAAGAAAACAACCATAATTTGAGCATAGCATCCACTTTTAGAACTTTATTGAAATTATCTGTTGCATTCTACGAACTGAACACTATAACACAAAATACAAATGTACTGAAGAACGAAAGTTGAGTCTGTGTTCAAGCTGAAATACAACAAAATAAAAGGAAAAAATGATTATAAAATTCAGTTTTTTAAAATTTTATTAAAATTTTAAAATAAATTTTTTTATTATGTCAGAACATATCTTGTTTTCCCCCTTTCAGTAAATTAATAATTTTTTAAAATAATTTTTTATTTTTGACTTTTTCATGTTTGCGCACACCATGTACGGTTATCATGCCTCCTTAGGGAGGAACGCTTCGCACTTTGAGAATCGCTGTGTTAAAGAAAGTTTTTCTTTTTTTTTAAAGAAAACATTTTTATTTATAAATAGTTAATTTTTTTGAAATTATATTATTGTATTTATAATTACGGAGTTTTTTTGAAATTTTCTTGGTACTATCAAGAATTTTACATTAGAAATACAACACAGAGTAACAACAACAATAAAAGGACTTTTTAACTGTCGATAACTGAACCTATAGAATTTAAGGACATAAGATAATGAAATACGAATTTAAAGAAATATAAAACAAAGAAATGATTTTTAATAATTATGCTAGAATTTAAACTAACATTAAGAAATTAACATCTTTAATGTCCATAAATGATTTTAATGAACAATGTATTAGTTGAAGTAAATGCGCGTTTGATAGCAAAAAATTTTTAAAAATTCATTAGGATTATTAATGTTTTGAATTCATGAAATATAATAAGCGAAAAATTCTTTCAAAAAGCGGAATTCAACGCGTTCAAAAGTTGATGCGCTTAAGTTAAATAAAGTTTAATATACTAATAAATTTTCGTCTTTAAATACTCTGAATATATTAAGTGTATATAATTTAAAGGTACATGTTTTATTGTCACAAATAAAAATGCACAAGCGTTGTTACAAAAGTGAAAAATGCTTCGTTAGTTTAATTTAAAATCAAAACTCATTTAAGAAATACCGAAAATAAATATTTTCAAAATGATTCTCATGCAAATGTAAACAGTTTCTGTTTAAAGCTGGTGATATATGTAAAAATATGTATTTTTAGAAAATTGAAGGTATTGGTAGCACTTTTCGAACAAAAAAAAAAGGAAGAATATCATTATAGAAAATCACATTTGTCAAGCATTTTAATGCGTTTTGCTCTGTTTTTATAATAATCCTCTTAAAATAATGATACATATTAAATAGCTTTAAAGGAATCCTTTGTTCATAAGCTTTTTTTTGAAGCTTAAATAATTTAATTCCAAAGTTAATCCACAGGCTTGATTAATGCTTCTTGATAATTTAGCTATAAATCTTGGTTCAGTGAAATAAAAAATATGATAACGAATATATTTGAATTCAGACTGTTTTAAATTTTTCTTTTTGACGAATTAATTGTAAAGGGGGATATGGTACTTACTAGAACTTCTTATATATTTATTTTATATTTCTAAGTTTTAATTCAATTATTAAATTTTAACTTAAGCTTCTGATAATTAATTTAAGAGCCAGTTTTCACTCAGGATATGTGTGACACTTAAACCTAAATACAAAAATGGTTTCTTTTTGCGTTCGTGCATTTGTAAAAGGGAGGTTTTTACGTTAAAATATGCTAAACATATTAAATGTGATATGTTGAAAGAATTGAATATTTGATGAATATTCATTTTATATTATTGAATTATTAATTAACTGAATTATTCAGAAATGTATATTTTAGAAAATTATCATTATACTCCCTGATGTTTTTCAATTATCATTATAAAGTAGCTCGGTTTTTACAACATTAATAAGTCATTCGAATATGTAAATTTTTAGATGAAAGTAGCGAATTAAAAAAAACCCATAGAAATATAATATTTTCCCGAAATTTAAAGTATTTTCAGACAATAGGTCTTAC